GTTATGTCCGCAAATTTGCGCGCGTTATAAATTGCATTATTATTATGAACCGAGTTCACAACCATGACTGGGGCCGTAGAGCATCGTTGGCCACACCAACCCAGGCCACGGTGGGGCTAACGACATCAAATGCAACCAAAGCCAATCGTGATCCGCACGAAGCAGCCGTTATAAAAAATAAATTTGGGTGGAGGATCGGATTAGTTTGATTCAGTTTGCGCTCGAGCCTTGAGTGGGTAATCTCGTATCATGTTCTCTCTCCCTCTCTCTGGCCTGCCCATCTATGTCTGTGAGAGCACGGCCGTGACCTGAGTGGCATCCTGAGGGCATCAAGGCAGATAGCGAAGAGCAGAAGAATCATTCGTGCTGACTGTGGATTCATCGGCATTGTACGTGCCCTCAAAGAGTGGAGTAAGTCGTCGGGGAAGAGGAGCAGAGAGGCCATACCTGTCAATCCCTTATCAGTGCCCTACCGTATCACAGACCAGTTCAGACATTATTGGTCACCCCGTGCCGTCATAAATCTCATTGTTCATCCTGCGAAGTCCCCTCACATGGAAGAAACACAAACAAATAGACAAAAAAAATGTTGTTGCCCGTATTGAAACGGCTGTACGCCATATGGACCTCAAAACTCAATTTCACCTGCACAAGAATATGGAGTTTAACCGTGATGGGTTGACACGGCGGCGTAAGGCGACGACTCACCAGTTTAGTTCTCCCGAGCAGTAAGTGGCCATTGCTGCCTCGGCAGTGGCTCCTCAACCGGGGGGGGGAACAGGAGGTGATTTCTCAATGTGCGAAATTATTGTCGTACACGAGAGTCGTTGGCGAATGATCATGTTGTATGAATCTGCCGATGTAAAATAACTAGGATGAAATGTGAATCCAGATGGTAACGTAGAACGATGTAAGAAGACCTTTCTAATCGCATCGATCGTAAACAACGTGGTCTACGAGAGTAACCAGCGGGGGCGTTGATTTTTTTTTATTCGCTTGCAGTTACTCGCTAGTTAGGATGCCTCACAAAATGGGCATTTTTTTAAAATACTGATGTGTATTATTCATACGTGAATTTCTCAACAACCAAGTTGTGGATTTACTCTCCAACACACCGATGGGCTGAAGTAGTAACGATATGGCACGTGTTGCTTACGTGACAAACCTTACTGGCTGTGTCGGGTGGTGGAGGGTTACGACACATTTATAATTAACGCGATCTAACCCAAAAACCTTTATGATGACGGGGGGGGGGGGGGGGTGGTCACTCGGTTGAAATAAAATTCCACAAGGTTACAGGTGCAGCCAAAAAAAACCTTTGAGAACCACCAAACCGAGAAGAACCTCTGCCATGGGGTCGCATGGTGCCAAGAGAGGTGGGTGTGTGGGGGGGGAGTGAGTGCTTTGTTTTGTGAATGTACGAGGCACGCGTTGTTGCGTGAATCAAAGATGACGGGAGCGTGTCGTTGGGTGGGCCAAGGCGGTCTGGCATCCTCGGTCGCGCGAAAACACCGAAAAGCCGTCCCCTCGAGCTTGGACACGCGGCTCTGGGCCGGCGTGTGGGAGCCCCGCGATCCTCGCAGCGTTCGGTGACACGTCTCTCTCTCTCTCTCGGAGGAAGGCCTGGTGGTGGTAGGGGGTGGATAAAGTCGTGGTCCATAATAACGGGGGGGGGGGGTTGGGGGGGTTAGGTAGCGCGTCAATATGAATGTGTCATTTTTGTTTTTTTCGGTAAAGTCACGTAGAAAGTAAATTAATTAAATCATATTATACGACGTTTCGATTGCAACACAAGCAGTCGTCATCAGGTAGAATTAAATTTGAGAGAGACAAAACACAGACACGGAGACACACAGACAGACACACAAACAGAGAGAGACACACAACATAGACATATGTCTACAACACAGCCACGATCGTCGGAAACTCCTGATCTTGTTACTCCTGCAGCCGATCGTTCCAGAATCAATGGAACTAAACTTTCAATACTCCTGCATCCATACTTGTGGTGAGATTTTAACTCCCTCGCCTGGTATGCAGGAGGTCACGACCCTAACGCCCGCTGTATATTTGGAGTTTACGTCTCTCTCTCCCCGTGGTCGCATGGATTTTTCTCCGGGTCCTCCAGTTTTTCCCTGCACATTTTGCATCAACATGCGTTAAGAGTATTTGGCTGCTATATATTTCCACATGATAAAGCCACTTACTTCGTTGAGTTATCATTTGTGGCCAGGCCGCTTCTGAAAAATAGCTATATAGCTCAGTGGGCCTAGTTTGTACTTTAGTTATCGTACTTGCGTCAACTCAAGTGTTGCGTGATAGTTCATGAACAATCCGGTTATTCTCTTCGTATACTGTATTAATTTATCGCTGCGGCCTTTACGCAAGAGGTTCCTCGACTAGATTTGTTACATAATTGCTCTGACTTCAAGGGCAAGAAGTCATCGTGGCCGATACCACTGCCACCTCTTTGCCAAATCCAGTCGTCCACGTGTGCTGTGTATGTTTTGCTCTTAAATGGCCTGTATTCAAATCACGAGGAAAACCTCGACGTTTTAATATCTTTATTGCGATAAAATATTGCACGTGTACAGACTTAGGTGTCACAATCACGCCTGTTGTAGTTACCTGCAAAACAAAATAATGAATACACAAATTTGCGATGCGCAGTCTTTTTTTAAAGAAGGCAGCCAGGACTGGTTCCAACATGTGCCCAATCTCTGAGGCCCTATATGACAATGTTTGGGCAACTCTCTTTACAAGTATTTTACTCTTTTGTCCAACAGCTTTGAAAGTTGTGTCAGTTACGCAATCGCATTTGCATGCATATCAGGTCTAATGATTTCGCAACGTTGCACTGGAAGACTCTTTATCCGGTGTTACATTCAACGTGATGTACAAATCAATAGGTCACACGTAGGCCTAAATGCACGCTGATGAGTCACAGTTCAAAGAGGAATAAACACTTTAAGTTGCGCCACAACCGTCATTAAACATTTCTATAAAAGTATTCCAACGCCCAAACCACAGTCGGAGTTTAAGTTTTAGACTTAGTTTAAATAGGTGAGAATTCAAGAGACCGAAACACAGTCGTCTCGCACATCCAATTAGCACGGTGAACTACGTACGGTGCCACCAAAATCCCACATGCAAACAAATTAAAATGCAGCAATGAAAATTCACGCCCACACACAGACAATGCTACCAACTTTTCACTCTTTGCGGGAGGTCGTTGGTGGTAAATACATGGATAGACTGGTTCCCACCATAAGAATGTGGAATGTATGAGAATGTAATATACACTGCTGGCTCAATGGATGTGTGAACCGAACATGTTTTTATTTTTCTGCTTTGTCTGCTGCCAGCTTTATGAAGTGCAAAGTTGATCAACCACGTCCCGGAGTGCGACTTTCTCGTAATACGTTTTCTTTGACGAATGATCCATGTGAACATTTGGACTTGACGCTCAAAGCCAACGCAATAAAGAAACAAATACATGCATTGCAATGAAGGTGTGGTGGCCTCAAGGGGGCCAACCGCGGTGCAGAGACAGTGCCGTGTGAGGGGTGTCGCTGAGAAGGGGGTCACGCCAGGACGTGACCCGGGAGGACACGTGACTGGTCGAGAGGGGGCAGGGGGGCCTCAGTCGGGGGTGAGAGGATCACGTGATGGGGGTCCAGAGTCCCCACGAGGGTTCTGGAAGGGGGGCATGTCCAGGGACGGAGCCAGCCAGCCCAGGGGAGTTATAAGCGGGGTCCCGAGAGGGATCAGGCGCTCAACTTTGGGAATGAAGTCGTGATCCTCGGTTCTCGGTCTCCGGTCTCTACGTGTGGACCAGGCAAGCCCGTCAGCTGTCCGGGTCCGGCTATATAATCGTCTGCGAGTGTCAGTTTAGTTGGCCGTGGTGGTCATCACCCTATGCTGTTATCCTGTTAGTTACCCGTTGTGTTAAAAAGTGTTGCCTCCAAGTACAAGTCTGCGCCTAAGTTACACGCTACAAAGGTATAGATGTATCACAATGCACGCGTTGTGATCTTTAGCGCCACAGTAAAAAAAACTATGAAATACATTTTGAGAATAAGTTGTATTGTAACACGTTTGCTGTACTCAAAAAGGAACGACCGAAAGATAACTGCAAATTGATAACCAAAAATATTATTTATTTCACGAGGTTTAACATTCCAATGTTTTTGAACCACACCCTCAAGAAATATAATCCATGCAACACATAACTCAACAACAGGGTTACCACCACCAGGTAAACAGAATGAATTTATATTGCTCAGTTTGCATCGTCCCAACAAATGAATAAACGTGTTTGAAGATGGGCAGATGCCAGTTTTGGTCAGAATTCAGATCTTGCCACATTTAAAAATATTGAACGGAAACAAACTTTATAAACGACCTTATTTAAATAGAGAGAACATTGCATATGATACACCATTCATGGATTTAAATTGATAACATATGAAGATGTCCTAAGCTTATGGATTTAGTATATGCACAGCTTACATGGACCGCACCTCCGATTAGCAGTTGGCTACGTACGGTGCGAAAGATGTTCCACATACAAACATACATGCCAGGTTCAAATGGTTTTTAACGATATTGTTAAACAACAGGTTGTGTTACTAATCAGTACATGGCAAGGACTAGCACGAAATTAGCACCTTCCGGTGCCGGGGATGCTAAAAGAAATTAATTTGCCAGGTGTACGATGCAAAACATTCAGGCTGCTTGCCATCACGGGAAATACCCAAACATCTTGCAAAAGTAGATTTTTTTTGCATACCACGGACAGTTTTCTAAAATGCTTACATCAGATTGTTCACGGCACGTGTTACGAGTTGTATCTGTGATCTCCACGCCTTTCACCGGGGTTCATGTTACAACGTGCAATTCGATTGTTTGGCGAGATGACACACTATCGCAATAGACATTGTTTCTGAAAGGTGTCACGTTTCTTCCGCGTGCAACAAACTCACAGCAACACAATTGGGTGTTGTTTTAGAGTTGGGTGTATTAAAGTAAAGGTTATTTCATGCTGAAAATGCTTAATTATACTAACACCATTTCACATAGTACTGCTGAAAATCTTAATATGTAACCTTTTAAAAACAACACACATGCCACGCTCACAAAAAGATTACGAGTGGGATTACAACGCATGGGATGCAACCGATCCAAGTTCCTGATTTGAAGACCGTAAACATCACAACTTTTTCAAATAATTCATGTTTTACTGCAACATTTAATTTTTTAAATGCCATCTCTTTTACACCCCCCCCCCCCCCATCAACAATCAGAGCCTTAAAACATGTAAGGTTTGCACAAATACCAAACATAAGTACGTAGCTGCATAGATTAGTAGAAACAAGGTTTTAAAGCTATCATAGTAGGAACCATTTCATTACAACAGGCTATTATAATCTCTTTGCCATATTTAAAATCACTGTGGTAGGAAGCATTCGACCTGTGCATGTCACGTACCACAACACTCCACACACGCGCACGCAACACTGCTGACATTACAAACGGGGGTTGATGGGAAGGGGTTAACGATCAATGGGCGCACAATTAAAAATCGACCGTCTCCTCGTCTACAATTTGGCAGCCCGACTCACGACAGGTACCAATGGGCCGTAAGGTTTCCGTCGAAAACCAGAAGCGGAGGCCGCGCACACTATCTTTCGGAGCGACGACCAGCTGCGCAACCTCCGGCATCGCTGCCGAGACCTGGGGGGGGGGGGGGCGAGCTAAATTTACGGAGCAAACTGCCGCCCTCGCCCGCCGTGGGCAATGCGGGGGTGGAGTGAACGAAAAAAACCTGTCTCCCATGACAGCTGCCCGTGTGATAGCCAGAGCTCGATGTTAAACAGGGCCTCTTAGGCACGAAACCCACTGCTGTAACACAATGTTGGGAAGAGGTGGGAAAAAAAACCCCATCCAGCTCAACACGAGGCTTGATAAATAGCTGAGTGGAGCCCAACAGTTTGTTGTTTGATGCAATAAACTAATACATTTATTTGATCGTGAAATATATAATACCAATTCTGGTATGAAAAATAAACAATATGGATTCTGAAGACCACAAGAAAACTTAGCTTGCAGAACGCAAAATCGCCTTCATTTGCAGTAAAAGGAGCCGTGTAAATAGAATGTAAACTCTTGTTTCATGCTTTTTTTCGCCTATGTGAATTTCACAATATAGACATTGTGGTGAAAACCATATCTTGTTTCAAGGCTTACAAACTGTGTACATATTCTGATTGTGACTGTACAATGAGGCAGCATGAAGCGAACACAATCCTTGTTCAACACAATAGATCAGAGCTTACCAAACCCTCGCCTTGTATTCTTTGAACTATCTGAACAAAATCCATGCTTGTACTCAAAACAAGATAGGTTTTGATACGACCCCCTGACCAAACAGTGTACGGAGCATCCCTCTCAGCAAGTTTAACCCAACAGAGGCTGCACCTTGCAATGAGGTAACGATTACAAACCGAAGGCAAACACATCTCCAACACAAATTTACATAGTTAAGGCAATATCGTGATGTTTTTTGAATGAAGACCGAGGCATGCAGGTGTGGGGACCCCTTCAATTTCTCACCACTTTCCATGTATGGCTATATCGATGCTCACAGTATAAACAGTTAAAATAATGGCACGTGTGTGTGTGCAGGTAGATATCCAGGTGTGAAGGTTATTCAATGATACGCCACCAAGCAGGACATGATCGGGATTTAAACAGCACATATGGGATTCATGGGGACCTGAGGAGGTACACATCAGCCAATCCAGCGAGAAATACATCTGGATACGTCCGTGACCTCCCATTGGTAAGCCATAGTTAAGCTGCGACCTCCGTGAACCGCCCGTTACACGGTTGTCACCGTCCCATAATGGTTTGTTCTGGAAATTAGTGGATGTGTCAAAATGTCACAAAATAGAGGTGTTTCTCCATACACCAAGGGTGGAATGAGGTTTGATTAATCAATATATTAAGCTCACAATACATGCACTGAAACGTATATTCAATAAAGAATTTGTCTCGAGTTATATATATGTTTTATGTAATGGGTTCGCATCACCCTTGCAGACACTGCTAACCACCCCTTATACCATTCACAAGATTATCAACAAAAAGATTATTGAATTCGAATTTCGAGAGCGGTAAAATATTTGAACTCCAGTCTAAAATTAGTCACATTTACACACAACACATGCTCTCAGTTTGCACTGCAAGATAACCCAGTGAACAAACTCATCAGTATAAGTGAATCGTCCACTTAAGAAGGCACACACCCACACAACTCATGGTATAGCACTAACAAAGGCCATATTTTAAATGTCTGTGCTATCATTACATAAACATTCAAAACTAGTATTTAATATATCACTACATAGAATCTCTGACATTTCAGCCCTTGATTGAAACGTTTCGATTCCGCCAAGTCCAGCATTGGAAAAATAATCACCAATACAAAAATAAAACAGGACAACTTGCGTTAAAAAAAAACTTTTCGGAAAAATATAAATTAATTTTACAATTAAGAGGTCTGGAAACATTACTCTAAATTGTATATTATTTAAACATATTTCATGTCACTAAACTAATTCAGGCCCATTTGGCAGGTGTGGCTGTCCCATCAAGTACTCCAGGTTGTGCATGGAGGTCTTTACTTTATTCTCCAAAATAAACAGTTTATTAAAATCAAATATTTAACCTGATTTCACCTAAATAGTAATCTTGAGTTATTGTCTAATTAAGCTTTGATTCTAAATAAACCCAATGACTAATGTAAAAACACATCTGTTGGCAGGATCAATACAAATATGAACTGCATCTTGTGCCTGCCTGGACCAAATGACAATGCTATGTAATGGAAGTAAATTCCAAAAGGGAATGCATGTATTAAAATATTTAGAGACGTGCATCACAAAGGATTTAGGTTCAGAATGTTTTGGTCTATAAAACTGTTGAACACATGACTAGTGTATGTCGAATCTGTGCCACCCTTCTCAGCTACATTTGGTATTGAACTGTAACTATTTTTCTTGGCATCTCTTAATTGCATATTCAATTGTTTTAATATTCCTATTTGGCATCATCAATACACATCTAATTTAAGGGTCAAAACATCTCGGCGAGAAACGTGAAAAAATACTATGCATGTTGAACTTCCAAGTGTACGTAGCCAATCGTACTGATCGGAAGTGTAATGTGCCTTCACGCGTGTAACATGCATTGTTATCGTGCGTTTTCTTATCGTTATTAATCTCACACCTCATGTACTAATTGTTGCCGCTAAGTGGGTGAAGCGTCCTACGATAAATGTAGGATCTTTGAAAAAGGTGGCTGCCAAGTCTCCAAATACGTAGTGGTACTCATTTTATAGACTGCGGAGTGAGCTGTAAGTAGACTGGCCAGGATTTAAACTCCATGCACTCAAAAAGAGAATGTCTACCAAATGAGCTGCAATATATTGACCTTAATATTCCAAAGGCAATGCTCCACATACGCCCACTAAAATCGATACATTCCTACACTGATCATACCAAAAGACAATCATCCACCAGATGATAATACATGAGTCTAACAATGATATTGAAGGTCCCGGCAAAATGTGTGATTTATAAAGTGGGCTAAATTAGGTGATTTTTATTTGTTCTTTGTACAACTAATGCGCAAAAACTACGCAAGATCGTCTCGTACAACACCAGGGTTTCAACCTACCGCCACTTAAGCTGTCAGTGCTGGAAGATTGGTTTTCATTGTGAGGCACTGCAAGCAAATACACAACCGCACTTAATCTCTGATTGCACAATGCTAGTGGATTAACAGCATGGAGTAAGTTTTGTGTAATCACAAATGCCAAGAATGGTGTTCTGTCGTAATAATAAGTCACATAATTCGCCATGGGAATAAGGAACAAATTTTTAATTTATGTGGGCTAACGGAATTAACAGCTCTTATAGCCATAGAAACACTAGGCCATGATTCTTGGGTTAAGCATCTTGAGATCAGGTTTCACGAGACCAGCTTTCAGGTCACTTTTGTTTATCGGTGTAGCAGCTTAAAGATAATTCTGTGGTTCAGCCTGCCATTCTTAGATTTAATTACATACTTGTCTGGTCTAGCTGGTAAAAACATGGAATATATAAAATACTGATGTTCTTCAAGTCGGCAGGGTATGAAAATATGGCTATGTTAACACAACAATATAAGAAAGCAGGCCACTATCGTATGAAAGTGGAATTCCCACCACTGGCTCAGAATCACTTGCAGTGATAAGCACAAGTCCCATGCTCCAACGAGCATAAGACATTTCGAGTACACTGCATGTAGGCGCTTTATATACAAGCTGCCAGTTACTTCATCTGCTACTCAACGCAGTAATGTTAATATAAAACTGCTTGATTCTGATATAAAATCCCAAGCTGCGAGCCTAAAATTCTGGTCTTTTGAAACCCAAGTTTCAAGCCCCTAAGTGGGCCAACGTTCCTGTGGCTTTAAGGTAAGACGCTTGCAGATATGTACCTAGACTGTGTGATACACTCTTGGCTTCGTTATAAATAAACATTATTTTATAATTATGGTCACTCAAGTCACAACTTCCTAGTGATGTCATTGCATTGATGCAGTATTAAACTGTACATGGGTTGGCATCACAGATACATCACTAGGGCACTGTCAATGGGAGTGCCAAATCACAATAACCATAGATTTCAAGTCGCTCATTAAAACAAAAAGTCTCAAAACTCATGTTGAACAACCGGGGACACACAGGCTAGGTGGTGCATCTACAAGATAATATCCATTGCCGTTTGAGTACGAGATCCCCTCCCCCCTCCCACCCCCCTCTCCCCCAGTGAAGCACCGGCGTCGCACACGCTATGTGCACGCTCAGGCGTGGTGCGTGCATGCGAGCGAGCGCTGGCACCAAGCGCTACGTGCGAACGCGCCGTTGGTCGTTGAACAGGCTGCGCAGCGTGTACACCTGCAGGCCGGCCACCACCACCAGCACCGCCATGCTGATCCCCGACCACAGGTTGACCATCTCGAAGTTGGTCTCCTGCAGTTTTCGGTCGCGGGCCTCGTAGACTCGCAGCACGGACTGCATCTGAATGCTTTTGCTGAGGCGGGTCTTTATGTTGTCCATGGTCTCCTGTGAAGGGAGAGAAGCAAAACAGCATTTGTTTATTGTAGGTATTCATAATAGACGTTTTTTGAGTTAGATGGCGTTATTTATAAATGTGTCGTAACCCTCCACCACCCGACACGGCCAATCAGTAAAAAAAAAGAAGTGTCACGTTGACAAAAGACAAATAGTTCACTACTTTAGCCCACCGGTGTGTTGAAGAGTGAATCCACAACATTTACAATTTTTGAGTACGACGTTTCGCTGGTAATTACATCCAGCATCATCGGGCCCGATCAGAGATGCGGGGGAAGGACAACACAATAAGCATTTCAGTTTGTTGTTCTTACCCCACACCTCCAATTAGCACGGTTATCTATGTACGGTGGGAAAGAAGTTGAACATACATAGAATTCTTATCTATCTTTGCCACCAGTCGTTTACACTTGTGCTTTCGGCAACAATATGCGTGGCAAGACATCAAATGGAAGTGTAATCCACATCATGGAAGCAAAGACTGATTTGTTAAATACTGGGGTGTTTATATTTATTGTAGGCAAGGCGGCTGTGAATTTAAAGTTGCTAATTGGACCCTTGGGCTCTGTGAAAGTTTTGGTGCCACCATGCAAGTTTAATTTTGGATCCCCAAACACAACTTCATCTCTACGCTCAAACATCCCAATCAAACTTTTGACGTGTGCTTGTAAACCACGACCAATGATGTTGATCGTCATGGTATTTATCTATGTCTTGTTTTTTTCATAAACAAAAGTTAATGTCAGACAGTCCTTGACACGTGACTTAGCATTGCATGTATAGAACAGCAGCAATGTTTTGTATTACAATTTCTTTCTTGAAGGCATCCACCACCCCACCTCCTCCCTCCTCACCTGCAAGTCCTCCAGCTTCATGTCAATAATTTCGTCAACCGCCACAAAGTCCTTCCACGCTGGCTTGTCGTCCTTCTCCACCTCCATGTTGTCCAAGATCACCTCGAAGAACACCACCTTCTCCGACACGTGGCTGAAGCTGTTGTCGAAGCAGAACATGTAGTCTCCGTCCTGCTTGGCCTCCACGCTGCGGAAAACGCGCATGTCAGCCAGACTGCGGAGCACGAGTGTGTGTGCGTGTTCCGAAAGCATATACGATAAATATACGGCATCAATTTTCAACATATCTTTCGAGTATTTATGCAAGTGGAAGGCAAATGAAATACCGGGAGAAATCCATGCGCGCTCATGGGAAAATAGCCAAAAGCGGTAAATATGCCGTAGGTTAGCACTCTACTTGCCGCACTGCCTTCTACGAGCCATCACTTCGTAATAACGTATATCGATGTATGTATGTTGAACTTCTTTTGCACCACACGCAGCCAACCATGCTAATTGGAGGTCGGGGGAAGGACAACAACCTAAACACAAAAAGCAATTATAAAGAAATGAGTTTTCAATTTAGATTAAAAAGTGCAAAGCTCCAGTGGTTCCTAATATTGGAAGGAAGAGCGTTCCAGATAGCCGCAAAAGCGGATCTGAAAGCGCGCGATGTGGTGACCGTCTTTATCAGATGGTTAGCCAAAATCCGCTGCGAGGATGATTGGAGTTTACGTGATGGTATTTGCTCCTTGACGAGATCAGCAAGGTATTGTGGTATATTTGTAGCAAGCACTGTGTGTGTAATGAGTGTGACCTTATAATGTATGCATTCAGCAACTGGAAGCCAATGCAGTTCAGTCAGCGCCGGACGGATATGGTCGGATCTTGCAGTACCCATCACGACACGTGCCAAAGAATATTGTACACGCTGCAGCTTATTAATGTGTAAATCGTGCTTGTTCCAAACATTGCCCTTAGGCAGTTTGACATGTAGAGTGGCTTTACAGAAGCACAGATGTATCCACTGCCATTCGAGCTTTCATTTAGCCAGCAGTCAGTGCTGTTGACTTCACCACACCTGGCCATAACTTCCTTCCCTCTGCCAGTTCCTGAAAACTGTTGTACAGGTCCACTCGTATGGTGTCCACCACCTGGCTTTAGGTCTCCGCCCTACGGGTGCCCGTCCTCTGCCAGTTTCGTCACGAACCCTCCCATCACAACTTCCTCTTGGTGATAAGATCTACCACGCTTTCCTTTCACATCCTCTTCTGGATCTCCAAGTTGCTTAACCTACCCTGAGATCAAATCTGAGCACGCTCACTTGAATAACTCGAATCATGTCCAGGATATCAGCATTTCCTCGACTATCGATTGCAATACCAAGTAGAGTTCCGTTGCAATTACAGGAGGTCTGGAAGTCAGGCGAATGATAAACTTAAAATGGGGAGGTCAGTGTTTGCTAATAAAGAATCAAATATTCAACATGGTCAGTTAACAACATGATGACAAACTGGCCCAAGTCTTCCCCCCTAAAAAAATGCTCTGGTACCACTGATGGCGTAGGATCACACGACGTGTGACCGAATAAAGGGGTCTTCATGTTGAAGATTGGAAGGACACCCTCGCTTTCATAAGTTCGTAAGAGTAGGTGTTCAGCACGAGACAGTGATGACCTCTGGTGGTGAATGGGTGGTGTGCAACACCTTTGGAGGCCTTCTGACTTCCTGTACTCGGCAAAGAGGACTTGTCCCGAAGGAGACGAGATTGAGAAGTCCACATCCATGCCCGCACCGTCAATCACCTGCCAGTCACAAGCGCACAGAGGGTGGGGGGGGGGGGAATGACGGATGTGTAGGATAAATGATGACGAACGTTAATGTACAGGATCAGTAAGCCACTAATTATACATTTTTTAAGCCAAGATATTCTCACTTCATCACAGGACTCTTCCTGACATGTTTGGCCAATTATTTTGTAGGTGAATATTTGTTTTTTGTTTTGTGTGTATTGAAATCGGACTGCCCAGCAAAACCCAAGGTTTCATGGGGCTAACACTAAAATTCCACACATATAAGAGTTCGATTTTGATTGTTATGTTAAGCATTTGTACAGGTGTGCACAAACATAACCGAAAAACCAGGGTGGCCTTTCGTTGTGACATGTAGGGGTATATGTTAACTGTAAAGAGAAATATGACGGAATTGTGGCCAATTATGCAGTCACAGGCGTTTGCAATCTTATTCTAAAATAAATTATCGTAATGATTCACTGGGTGCAAGGAAAGATCGCGATTCAACTAAATTAATCAACCAGTTGAAGTCCGTGATAGAAACAAGACTCCAACGCCTTATCTACGACTCACACGCGATCCCTCACAGTATGATGGGTCGGTCAGTAATCGATCAAGACACCTGATACTGCAATTCCAGGAAGGGGCCCATGGTAGCAAGACTCACCTCATCTACTCATCACAACCAATCCCTCTCAGACTGATTATATTATTTGCTGATAAACTACAAGTAATCATAGTAATACAATCGATTATTAATCACCTGCTACTCCTCCATGAGAGACAAGACTCAACTCACCGTCTTATCGACTAATCACAACCGATCTCTCACGGTGTAATCGATGAGGGGTCCCGTCACCTGATACCCCTCTTCCAGGGTAGGCCTCCGATTATGGCAGACGCAAGACTCACTCACGGTCTCATCTACTCATCAATAACCGATCTCTCAGGATCTAATCGATGAGTAATCGATGAGGGGGTTCCATCACCTGGTACTCCTCTTCCAGGGAAGGCCTCCGATTATGACAGACCCAAGACTCACTCACGGTCTCATCTACTCATCAATAACCGAGCTCTCAGGATCTAATCGATGAGTAATCGATGAGGGGGTTCCATCACCTGGTACTCCTCTTCCAGGGAAGGCCTCTAATTATGGCAGACGCAAGACTCACTCACGGTCTCATCTCATCAATAACGATCTCTCAGGGTCTAATCGATGAGTAATCGATGAGGGGTTTCCATCACCTGGTACTCCTCTTCCAGGGAAGGCCTCTAATTATGGCAGACGCAAGACTCACTCACGGTCTCATCTACTCATCTCCTCATCAATAACCGATCTCTCAGGGTCTAATCGATGAGTAATCGATGAGGGGGTCCCATCACCTGGTACTCCACCTCCATGGAGGCGCCCGTCGTGAGCGCCTGGTAGAAGCACTCCGTGCGGCCCGCGGGCAGCGTGAAGGTGAAGTCCCCGTCCAGGGACTGCGCGAAGCCGTTCGCTAGTGACGGCAGCAGGAGCAGCAGCAGCAGGAGGAGGTGATGATGGTGGTGGTGCGGCCACATCTCAAGAGTGTGGGGGGGTGGTGGTGGTAATAATATTAGTTGGTGATGGTGGTAGTGGGGGGTGGTGGTATTAGTTGGTGGTGGTGGAAGTGGTGGTATTAGTTGGTGGTAGTGGTGGGTGGTGGTGGTATTAGTTGGTGGTGGTGGAAGTGGTGGTATTAGTTGGTGGTAGTGGTGGGGGGTGGTGGTAGTGGTGGGTGGTATTAGTTGGTGGTGGTGGAAGTGGTGGTATTAGTTGGTGGTGGTAGTGGGGGGTGGTGGTAGTGGGGGGTGGTGGTTAGTTGGGGGTAGTGGTAGTGAGTGGTGGTAGTGAGTGGTGGTGGGGGGTGGTGGTGGTGGGTGAGGTGGGGTTGGTGAAAAGCGAAACAAACCACTCGGTCAGAGTGTCTAACCGAGTGAGACGTGAACACGCCGGCCACGACTGAAAGTCGTCAACAACTCATCGCCATTAAAAGTGGCGAGCGAAGGCGGCGAGGGGCGAGTGCGGAGGGAAGGGGCGCCGCAAACCAAACTCGTAAATAACAAACGCCCTGAGGGCAGCAATGACAGCAAACGCGCGAAGTCGTGCCACGCAAGCGTTGCCCTGCGGGCGTTTTGCACAACGAATTCCAAGGTGTTGGAGGAATTTCGATTCTTCGATTATCGGGATTAGTGAACACGAATCGATTCCAAGCCGCACAGCTGATGAGACCCTCCCCCCTTCCGGAAATATCGAAACCTGTCGAGATTTCGCTTTGCTATCATCATAATTTTATGATGCAATTACGTGTACAGGTAGTCCTCTACTTACGATGGAGATGCGTTACGACGACCCCATCGTAAGTCGAAGATGGCCTAGGCTACCCAGGAGTCTTAAAGAATGGTGAATACTCATTGGTTCTTTCGGTAAAGTAACGTCGGTGAAAATAAAACGTTAAAATAATCGCTTGTCCCACCTGATGACGGAAGCTTGTGTTGCTTCTGAAACGTCGTGATTTAATTTAATTATTTCTATTCTTTTTTTATTCTTATTCTTGTTTTTATTTTCACCTACGTGGCTTTACCGAAAGAACCAAAGAGTATGGATCCTTGCAGTTACGAAAACTTCAAATCTAGAATGGTGATAATTTAGCAAAACAGAGCAATTTACAGTACCGTACTGTATAATTATTAATTACAATACTGTATTACACAGTAAAATGTAAAGTAAAAAAACCCAACGTAAATACTTAGACTATGAACTGCAATTTAATAGAAAGTTTTTTCAGGAAACAATCCTTATCTGCTATTTAAAAAAACGTACAGTATCGTATCTCGTAACGCTGCTGCGTTTGCCTGCCGCGCGAAATTTAAAATATTTAACAATTTTGTCGTATCGATATCGCCATCGTAAGATCGAAATATCGTAAGTCGTAACTCGGGGACTATCTGTAATCATAACAACACCTTTATTTGCAGGGCACTTATAAGGCGGACTTTGCATCACAATCCAGCCACGTGGCAGCTGTCTCTGTGTGGCACAGGTGGGCATCAGTCTGCCAGCAGGGGGAGGGCGGTGTTACTTTGGATTTTTCCCCCAAATGTGTACTTTTTAGGAAATTCAGTCCTGTCCTCTCACGCGGTAGTAGTTGCGTTCCTGAAGAACACCGCGTGATGGGAAAATCGCGTTATCTATATATATAAAAGGAACATTTTTGAATATGTGTGTCTGTTCAAAATGTTTAGCGTACTTCCCGACATGCAACAAACTTGAAATTTGCCATGTGGGTACTTTTCAGACTGTACACCATGCAAAAATTATAAAAATAGACTTTTATTTTTTTTGGGGGGGGGAGGGGGCTCAATTATGCATATATTTTGCACGGCAAGTGAGCTGTGACGTCACATCTGTGCTGTGACGTCACATCTGTCATGTGACCCGTGTGCGAAAATGTAAAGGAGTGTGCCTGCGGATCGCGGGTAAAGTCAAATACAAATGTGTTGCAGGTCTAAGGCGTTCTTCGCGCAGCATTGGTTTATTATTTGAGTCGTTTACTGCCGTACGCACTCTGAAAGTTGTGTGTGTCTGCTGCAAGCGCATGGATGTGTTCCTATGGACACGCGCGAGTGTGTGTGGGGGAAGCGGTAGTGTAGTGGTTAGCGCGCTGCGCTACAAAACCCGGCGACCCGAGTTCGATTCCCGCTCACGGCCAACACCGGTGACGATTATTTGAACCAGTCCTGGGCCTCCCCTAGGTCGACTCAGGTTCAAACGAGTATCTGGTGTAGTGTGTGTGAACATCGCCACTGGGGAGACAAAGGCAGCCGAGCATGTTGAATCCAAGTCCAGGGCAAAGCCGGGTAGTAAAGCTAGTATATAATATAGGGGGTAAAGCACAATCCGCGAAAACACGCAAGATGCGTACGCAGGCTGAACAAATACTGAGGCGCCTGGGTATCATCCAGCAGCATCCCACTGCCTTGTGCGATGCCACGCTGAGGCAACCGTACCACCGCTTATTGCTACTCGCGCGACGCGCGTCTGTTCACTCGATCGCGTTATATACAATTTGCATCCGCGTTATAACAAAAATGTGTTCCCTCACATTCATCGCACGACGTGCAATTCGCGTTAAGAAAACGCGCAGCCGTTATAGGAGAACAGACTACAGTATTTCAAATATTTATCGTGATGCCAGCACAGCGACCTACTCTTGCGAATGACGTCACAGGACCTTTTAACATCCAATGTGAAGTGAGATTTTTAATCCCACGTGTTCATCTCATGTCACAATGTCATTCCAAGCAGGCGCGTCATCGGTGGAGGGTGGGGGGATTTCTCCTTCACGTTCAAAATGAGTGACTTTCAGACCGCAGTCCACTCACTGGCATTAAATGTGTATCTTGTGTTCTCCACAGGGAATGCATTATTTGCTCCGCTGCGGGTCTCCTGCCACCGTTCTCCCATTCACATGTTTCATTGCTTCGACATACTATTAACATGGCCTCCCTTTGTTAATGCTACCCCCCTCCCTTTGGTGCTGCTGATTCTGCATAATGCATGGGCATAATATGACTTTGAACCCCCCCCCCCGCCCACCTCCTACGCATTTTCCATGAATATGCTAAATTCCTCTTGATATGTACATTCTTTTGTTAAGGCGCTCTTCTTCCACCTCCAACTCAGCTTATATATAAGCTCCTAGCTTGGCAGTGTCTCATTCTTCACCTGAAGACGGCTGCTTGCATTGTAGCCGAAACGTCGTGAGAATTATTTTATTATGTTTAATTTTTATTATTTTATTACTTCCCTTCTACGTGACTTTACCGAAAAAACCAAGAAGTTGGCATTCTAGATTTGAAGCTTTCGTGACTGCAAGGATTCATATTCTTAGGTTTTTTCGGTAAAGTCACGTAGGTAAAACATCAAAATTAATGAAAATAAAATAAAAAATCACGACGTTTCGGAGGCAACACAAGTCTCCGTCATCAGGTGGGACCGTCACAGCCGGATTAGCTGCATCAAGTGAGGCAATGATTCAAGATGTAATCCCTTAAAAGCAAGTTGAGGGGGGAGGAGAGGGGGGGAGCTCATCAGAATGTGGTAGCCAATGAATGGAACGTATCAGGAGGGAGGGGGGCGGGGCTCAAAGACGGCACGGAGTGCCAAGTACAACACATCGGGAGGGGGAGGGGGGCGGGGCCAAAAGAATGGACGACGGCTTGGACGCGGTTGCTGCTGCACACGCCAACGCATTGGACAGAGAGGGGGAGGGGAGGCCTGATACACATGATAGAAGAAAGAACGAAAATGCCCATGTTTATACCAATGTAGTGGTGATACGCGCTGGGATTAGGGATCGTATGCCAGCGCGTAATGATTGGCTGTGTATGTGGTGACGCGCGCTGACGGTGGAGGATCAGGGGTCAGCGCGGGGTCGTGGGTTACGGGGTGCTGATTGGCTGTGTGCCGGTGACGCGCTGAGAGGGAGTGATCAGGTGACAGCGCGGTGTGATTGGTGGAGTAGTGTTAACACGCGCTGGGGGAAAACGGATCGTAGAGAGAGCGCGTCGTGATTGGTTAACTAAGGAGCGATGCTCACGTAGACGTCCGCATCAGCTCCGTCTCCCGTGAGCAAGGGCTATAAAAGGGGATGCACACAGGCGTAAGGGCAGTATGTAACCAGCGAAGAATGAAGACGGGGATCGAAGAGATAGGGCCCTGCGGTACCTAGTCCCGCTGTCCTAACGGGACCGGGACTCTGTGTAACCCAGAGGCGAGTGTATTGTGTGTAGCCATAGGCATAGGGTCTACACGAGCCGAATGCATTGTGTGTAGCCAGAGGCATAGGGTCTACACGAGTCAAGTGTATTGTGTGTAGCCAGAGGCATAGGGTCTACACGAGTCAAGTGTATTGTGTGTAGCCAGAGGCATAGAGTCTACACGAGTTAAGTGGAGTGTATAGTACAAAGAATAGAGACCACACGTTGTATTGTGACACGTCAAGATTTAATAAAAGTGTGTTACCCGTCAAGAAGTTCCTGCCGTCATTTCCAATACTTCAACTGGCGTCAGAAGTGAAACGGTCTTCCAAGCATGGATACAAGGAAGACCCGTCGGACCCACGGGATTGACCGCGGGGACAACCTTGACGACTCGGGCCAGCTGGCATCGGGGGGTGAGGACGAGGAATTGCCCACGCTGCAGGATCCGCCGACGGCGCCGGACGAGCGACGGGGGTCCGACGCCGTGCTCCGCGAGGCGCACTCCCGTCTGGCGGAGCTGCTGCTCGCCGCCGCGTCCATCCTGGCGGAGATCAGCTCGTCGGGAGGAGCGGGGACGGCGGCGGACATTCTACAGGGTCGCCCCGCAGATTCCTGCCAAAATGACTTGGCGATTCCCGCCATTTCATCTGCGCCGACTTTTGGCGGGAACGGCCATCACCACGTGGCAGCGGTTTTCCAAGCACGCCCGCTTACGTCACCAACGCGCGCTGCGGACCGCCATCAAACACCCGCCACTGGGGCCGCCATCTTACACACCGACGGGGCGGCGGAGAGGAACCACGAGGCGGAGGACGACTTCATCTTTCAACAGCGCCTTCCCACGTTGTCAGCCTTCAAGGTGGAAGGCGGGGACTGGGGCCAATTTCAGCGCAGGTTTTTGGCGCATCAGGAGATGTCCGCCTGGTCCGACGCTACGGCACTACGGGCACTGCCTGCCATGCTGGACGACAACGCGCTCGCGGCCTTCACGTCCGCATGCAGGTCGGACCGCTCCTCGCTCAAGGATGCGCTGGCTCTCATGGCCAAGGTCTACGGTCCTCCCTCGGCGTGTCGCCATCATTTTTATGCAAGACGGAAGGCGGACACGGAGACCGTGCTCGCCTATCGCACGGCGTTGCTGGCTCTCGCCAACGCCGCGTTCCCTCGTATGGACGAGGAGGGCCAAGATGCGATGGTTTTGGAGCAGCTGCTCAAGTTGGCGCAGGACCTGGGGGTCCCCATCAACACGGCC